TGTTGTGGCTTTCCTCTGTCAATCAATCCTAGAGCTAATCCACAGGCAGCATTCTGCTGACGTCAAAATCATGTGTGCTGTACTTGCTTCTACCCGGAATCATCATAGAAGCGGTACACACTGTACAGCTGTGCGTGGTTCTGTGCGCAGAACCGAGCAGAACAGTAAAAGGCCCGCCGGTGGAGAAGGTCCGGGAGTGTCACCCAGTGACATAGCTCCAATTGCTTCCTGCCACCTAAATACAAAAATTTGTGGGAATTTTCTCTTAAAGGAAAATCGTGACCCAGAAGGATAACAAGCTAGAGCAGAGATTCTTAACCTATGGGCCGCAGCCCAATTGTAGGCCATGAGCGCCACCTTGAGGGCCTCAAAAGAACAACAGTTTTTAACTTTGGGMCGCAGAGGGCTGCGGGACCACATTGATTTTGAATAAGGTGCAATACACTTTCTCACCACTAGTAGCGGTAGTGCGCCACTCAGATGTTTAACAACTTTTTTTAATACGTAGAAGAATAAGCTTAGATACATGCCGAGAATGGAAACCTATTTTAAATGAAAAGTAGAAGGCAAAAATGAAAGTAACTCATCAAAAAATGCCAAAGTTTGTCACTAAATGAAGTGCAGCTTCTGTTTTTACCATGCAATGCATGCAACTTTTAAAATATTTTTTAAAAGTTCAAAACATTATCAAATACGGTTGCAGATACAGCTATATTTTAATTATCAAATAAATTTTTGTAATTTATTCTTAAGCATTTTGTCAAAAAGCTGTTGTTACTGTTATTGTTTGTCACTAACATGAAAAGCAGCTTCTGGTTGCAAAAGTTTAAAAAGGCTTTATTTTCATTTGCACTTTATCAAATTAATTTTTACAAGTTTTTTTTGTTTGAAACATTTACATTAAATATTTTTGAATGTCCTATTTGAATGTCCTATTTTATGATCACATATTTATTTATTGAATTGTCTATTTTTGTTGTTGTTTATGTTAAAAAAAATTGTTATTTTTGTCTGTGATGGACTTGCGACCTGTCCAGGGTGTACCCCGCCTATTGCACTGTGACTGCTGGATTTGGGCACCAGTGACCCATGCGACCCTGAAAGGAAGAAGCGTGTACAGAAAATGGATGGATGAGTTATTTTTGTGTTGATAAGCCTGAGTGGTCTGTTGACTGACTGTTGTATTTGTTCAAATAATTGTTATGGACAGGTTACAAATGTTTGTCATAATCATGTCTTGTTATTATTTGACAGGAGTTTTACTTTTAAACGTTGTGTATTTTATTTAGTTATAACGCAAATACAATAC